CCAAAAAAATATTAAGAGAAAACTATAATTTACACCTGCTTTGTGGGTGTCAGTGAGGTGCTTCTTTGTGTCTCTGTTTCCACCCCTGATTTGCTTTGCTGCTTGTTGTTTTCCCATTTCTCCTTGGTCAGTGTTTTTTTTGGGTAGCTTCTGTCTGGAAAAAAAAAAAAAAAAGAAAAGAAAAGTAATCTGTGTTGGTTTCCTGGGCAATTTCTCTGTTTTTGTAACTGGTTCCTATTAATGGTTTCGAGATGAATCCCAGGAATCTGGAGCTGAGCTTCTTCCCAGCCAAAGGGGGTGTTTAAATATTGTGCCATCCAAGGATGCTGGACTGCAGGAACCACAGAGCTTTGGAGGTGCCGATGGCAGAGGGTGCAGACAGGGCTGTGACCTGGTGTGAGGACAGCAGTGCTGGAAGAACACACAAACACATTAATCCCTTCAGTCAGAGCAGTTTGCAGAGCTTGGATGCTGCAGTTTAACCCCTCATTTTGTGCATGGCCAGGTCTCTCCTGGGCAATCTGCACAGCTCAGCAGGTTAAGCAGATCAAAAACCTCTCAGCGTTCCAGCTCACTGCATACCTTGCATACCTGGACAGTCCCATTAGTTAATTTATGCTCCAATGCCTTGGGCACGTAGGGAAATAGAGCTTTCCAGGTGGAGATTCAAGAGAGGAAGAAGTTGAGGAAAGGACAGCCCCCAAAACCACGGAGTGTTCCTGGGAAACTTCATTTTGCTTCAAAATGGAGCCTCGAGCTGAGCCAGGGGAGGGTTGGGTTGGACACCAGGAGGAATTTCTTCCTGGAAAGGGTGGTCAGGCCTTGGAAGGGGCTGCCCAGGGAGGTGGTGGAGTCCCCACCCCTGGAGGTGTCCAGGGAAGGACTGGACGTGGCACTCAGAGCTCTGGGCTGGGGGACAAGGTGGGCATCGGGCACAGGTTGGATTCCATGATCCTGGAAGTGTTTTCCAAGCTCAGTGATTCCGTGACCGTGTGATTCAGGAGTGCTTGGGCACAGCACAGCTCAGCCCCTCGCAGTGGCTGCCACTGTGGGGAGCTTTTGTGGCCTTCACCTTCCTCTGGTTGTGCTGGGGGTGTTATTAATTATTGCCAGGATATCATTTCATACACCCCCAGAACAAAGGGTGTCAGAGACCTGCCCTCCTCACACACCAGACCTGTGTTTGCCTCCGCAGCTGCACCTCAGGCTGGTGGTTACAGTGGACTCCAGTGATGTCAAACAAAGCAGAAAAACATCTGGCCAGACCTTCAACCTGTCATTCTGGACGTGCTCTTCAGAGAAGGCAAATCAGGGGCTTTGGTGTTCATGGCTGGGGAACAGCAGTGGTAATGCTGGGGCTGAGAGGTGCAAGGCTTGTTACATCGCTGCAGTAATGACAGGCTCCACTCCACAGCCCTGTCATTGTGGTTGGGTTTCAGTTTTGTCCTTTTGGTTCACAGCTCTTGCTCTAAGTTGGATTATTTCGGGCTTGCTCATGGGGTTCGTTGCAGCTGAAAGATTTATTTTGATGAGCAAAGCTTTGCAACCAAGTGAAAACTCCCTGTGGTAATTCCCATGGTCCTGGGTTACAGCTCTCTCCTCCATCAGCAGGCAGCTCTGAGGGCCCCCCTACCCACTCCAGACCTTTCTTAGGATGAGGGAGTGAATGTGGGTGGGTATTTATCCCTCTAGGTGTTACAGGTTGATCACAGTGAAGATAAATGAAGATAACTAGAAGACAAATGGTGTCAGTGAACATTGACCCTGACCTGCAGAGCCCCTACCTTTCTCCCTTTTGCTGTTCCCATGCAAAGCTCTATTTCTGCCTCTTTTTGGGGTTGAGGGATCCTTGCTGCCTTTGCCACTGTACCTGTCAATCAGCTGTTCTCTTGTATTCTTTATTCCCAAGCTACTTCACAGTTCTAGGAATTATCCTTGCTCCTTCCCATGGGTAGGTATTTTCTCCTTTCCTTTCATCGTGGCAGAGCACTGTGGGTCCTGTATTTACAGAAGATCTGAAGAAGTTGTTGATAATAAGCCTGGAGTGGTGACAAATCCTGTCCATAAGACCTTGTACTGTAATTTGTGTCAACAGATCATTAATCCTGGCATTCCTTTTTAATACATGTATTTATAGCTGTGAAGGTGAGGGGGAAGTGACTACTTCCACTCCTGCTTTCCTGGGGTTAGTGGCCCTCAAAATTGCAGTGAAGGCTGGAGGGTCCCTCTTGGCATCACACCTTCTTCCTGATCTGACACTTGCTCGGTTTTTCTGACTGGTGGTCTTCAGCTCAGATTTATTGGGAGATCTTTCAGGGCAGCCTGAAACCCAAAATGTTAAAAATGGAAGAGGTGGGGAGGAGGAAACTTCCTGGCAGACCTGAATCTTGTGAGCCCCGTGCTGCCTTTTGGCTTGTCCACCCGAGACCCCCCGTTTCATATGTGAAATAGATGGGAAATACCTATTTTCTAGTGCCCTAATATTTCATCTCTGAAATCAGGGCGACTCTGGGAGCCTTTCTGCTCCTGCTGGGCTGGTCTGTGGGTGAGGGTGGCAGGTGCAGAGCCTGCAAAACCACAGCAGAGCTGCTGGAAGGTGCCTTTCCCTTGCCTGGATGAGGTTGTTTGCTTTGGTCAGGCTTTGTGGTGAGGGCAGGCAGCTGTCTGGGAGGCAGTGGGCGGCCAAGGGATGGTGCTTGTTGTGAGAATCGATACCCAAACTCCTCTGGGAGTGAGGGAGGAGGAGGGTTGGGGAGCACTGCTCAGCCTCCGTGGAGAATCTGCTTAAAAATTCAGCTCCTGACCAGGCAAAATGTTGACACAGCTGCTCTTCCAGGATTTCTTTGGAGTAGCAAAGCTCTAGGAAGCAGGAACTGTGCAGAATTAGAGCGAGGAAAAGGCAGGGATCAGCAAAATAGGCTCCTGTGTCCCCTTGCTCCTCTCTTTGTGGAGCCCAGAGAAGCTGTTGCTCTTCCCTTCCAGCGGGCGATTTTCTTTAGGAGACTTCAGCGGGTTCAGCCTGGACTTGGCTCCTCTCAGTCAGGAAATATCCAGTTCATGACAGCAGCAACCACAGCAATCTGCATCCCTCCCAGCAGCCCTGCAAGGACCAGGCAGTAACCTCTGCAGTGCCAAAGCCAGGAGAGGGAAAGGTGGAGAAGCAACGTGGAATTGCAGCCTGGAAGGTTCTGACTGAGGCTGAGAGAAACCGAGGGAGGAGAGGGTTTGCTGGGTTTGCTGTCTGTGCCCTGGGAACAGCTCTTTGCCTCCCAGCCAAACATTTCCAGCCTCTGCTCTGACGCAGCTCGACAAAGGGCTGTCACATTTGAGCCTGGTCTGGCTCCCTGGGCTCACAGAGACAGCGGGAAAGGCTCCTTATTCCATGAGATTCCTGGCTCAGCAGCAGCCCAGCACCTCAGCTGCTCTGGGCCAGGCTCTGGGGTGACACCTGAGAACCTGGCAGCAGGTTTGCCCCTCAGGGACACGGGGGATCAGGAGCCTTTGCTGCACGTGGGTGGTTATGGAATTGGACTCATGGGAATTCCCGAGGCTTGCAAAGACGAGCTGATGGGTTTGGAAAAGGTCATAATTAGGCTGGACCTGTGGACACAGAGGTGGTGACACAGCTCAGGTGATGAGTGTGGGAATGTGGAGTGAGGGACTGTTTGTGCCTCGTTCCCCCCAAACCTCCCCACTTCCCAGAAGTGCCAGAGTTGGAGTTTGCAGGGAAATTTTGTGGGGTTTTTAGCTGAAGGTTATTTTAGAATTTTTCCCTAGAACCAAACCAGCAGTTTTGCTGGATCTGTTTTGGACAGTGAGGAGAACTTGCTGGAGTTAACAGCAGGTTCTTTTCATGGTCATATTATATAATAATAATAATATTAATAGCTCCAGTTTCTTGGAATTTCTTTGGAAGTATCTGGTTCTGTCTGCTGCTGCAGACAGGATCCTGGACTAGGTGAAGTTCTGATCTAGACTGGATGCTTCCCGAGTTCCATGGTTGCAGTATATAATTATTTAGATGTTTATTTAGGGTTTTGCTGTAATTATAATGCCCTCCACTTTCCTGAAACACTTTCCCCTTGGGATAGAGGAAATCTATTTTCTGGTGTAGTAGAGAGACAGAAAAATGTCAGAAGGAAAAATTCAAGTGGGGCAATTAAGTTTATCCCCATGGATGCCATGGGAAGGCTTGTTTTTAAACTTTGCTGTAGAGTCCCACATATATTTAGCTTTGATCTACAGACAGGCATTTAAAAACAATAAGTTTTAATTCCCTTTCCCCAACGTTTTCCATTTGATGACTAATTTGATTTTGTTGTTAAATTCACTAAATGGTGTTCACAACAAACAACACCAATCTAACAACAGAATGCAGGAAAACAGAAAAATTTACCAGATTTTGCTTTTTTTACATATACTAACAGCAGCTACACTATTTCCTGACTTAATACTCATTGTAATTTTCTTGCAAGCCTTGCAATTTTCTTTAAAAGACTCCTGCCTAATTCAGTCACCTGCATGGATTAGGTTGTTAGGCCTTATTATCCTTTTGCTGCTCTCCAGCCCTCGCTTACAAATTACAGGACAGAGTAAATGTTGTTTTCTAGGTTGTCTTTGGAGACTTGAGCTTGAAGTAAAACCATATGAGGAGACAAAGATCAAAAAGCCATGGAAGGCAGCAGAATAAATCCAGTCTCAAGCAGACAGCTGGATGAGTGTCAAACAAAGGCAGGAACAGCTGGATCAAGTAAAGCCCGAGGAAAATTAGTTCCATCCCAAGGGGGAGGGAGGAAGACTGTTCTGTGAGCCCAGAGCTGTGTGGGACCAACTTCACCCGATAAAACTTTCACATCAAAGTCAGGGGCAGATCAGAAAGACCCAGAGGGAGGGGAAAGGGAAGAGAGGGAGTTCAGAGGGATCTGCAAAAAGCCGAGGGAAGGGAAGGAGGTGGAGTGAGAGGGGAGGTGGGGAGTTGGAAGTTGGGAGGTGGAGTAATTCTGCAGAATATGAGCTGCTGTCCACAGCTTTCTGGATGTAAATTGATGAGGTCATAGTGTTTTCCAGTTACAGAAAAAAAAAAAGTTAAGGAAAAAAAGAAAGTCTTCAACTTGTTTTTCGAGAGAGACGAAAACCCGGAGGAGCTGAAGAAATGGAGCAACTTGTGAAACTCCTCCTGTGGCACATTTTGCTTCAGCAAAGTGAGTTCTGAGCTGTTGCTTGGTCGTGCTTCAGCTGCAGAGGACGGGGCTGGAGGTTTGCTGGGAGGTTTGGAGCTGTTATCTCTGTAAGATTGTGTTCAGATTCCTGAGTTAGCTGTGTTTTCGTCCGTGGAGGGGAGGGAATCATGGATTTCTCCTGCTTTTTTGGGGAGAGAGTGGAGAAATGTTTGAGGCTGTTGAAGCAGTGCTCTGTTCAGCATGTTTGTGCAATCTGCTTTTTCCTATCAGTTACCCTGATCAGCAAATTCAAAAACAATAAGCTTCAGTGTGTGAGTACAGTAAATCTCACACAGCAAGACTTACAGGATGCAAAGTTATTTTGTACTTTTGAAGAAGCAAAACCAGCTGCTCTGTGTGTGTGTTTGAGTGTTCAGATGGAGCTAAAAAATGATGTGTGGGGTTGGTTTTTTTGGGGGGGAGAGGTGTTGTTTTTCTCCTGTCAGCAAAAAGACAGACACAGGAATTCACTTTTGGGTAAGGTGCAAGAAAAGGATGGGGACAAGCCTGATGAGCTTAAAATAACAGAATGGCTCATATCTTTTCCTTAATTACAGTTTTTTGTAAGAGCTGAAAGCAGATTCATTGTCCCCAAGACAACAGAGACACCCCAGTAAGGCTTGGGTGGCAGGAGGGGATTTGAGGGTTAATTGCAAAGCCCCAGCACATCCACACCTGCAACACTTTGGGCTCTGAGGAAGGTACCTGTGAGCAAAGGACCAAACACAGCTCTAAGAACAGTGTGGAGAGAGTTCTTTCCGGGTGCTGGGAGTAGGAAGTGAGGAGCACAAGCTTTGTGGGGACTGGTGACCCCCTGCTCCTCCCAGCCCTGTTGGTGAAAGGCAGTGGCTGAACACCTGAGCCCCTCAAAACTCCTCAGCTCTGAGTGGGGGGAAGGTGAGGAGTGCTCAGTTTGGTCTCTGATTAATCCAGTTTCCATGTCATCCCTATGCCTGCAATGCCTCAGGGCAATAAATTGGCAATTTATGGGCTCAGTCGTAGGGACAGAAAGGGTAAAGTGGCTCAGCAAAGGAGTGTGTGGGGTGGGTTAAGGGGAAGGAGGAGAGGCCACATCTTGTATTCCAGAAGCACCAGCCAGTCCAGGGACTCCCCAGCGAGGTTCAGCATGTTGGCAGAGCTCGGGGAGCACCCAGGGCAGGACTAGCAGGTTGGGCTGCTGCAAAGCTGTGGGGAGGCAAAGGTGTCCCACCTGAGGAGGGATGATCCCTGACAGACTCCTCGGGTGTGTTTTGGAGATGAGCTGTCCCCGTGCCAGGCTGCCCTGACGTTTGAGTCCTGCTGTCCCCACACCAACCAGGCTGTGACACAACGAGTGAAGATGGGCAGGGAGGAAATGTGAGATGGTCCCTCCTGGAGAGGCACCACACCCTCAAGTGTTAATGTCTGGCAGGGAGGAACAGCTCCGTGCTTGGAATGGCTCCACGAGCCCTTCCGTGGGCCTGGAGCCAAGGTGAAGCACACAGAGCAGGGAAGGGTTTCTAAAGCTGAGCTCACATCTGAGCTGCCTGTCAGAAAACTTGGGTAGATCTCTGAGGGATCCTGTCCGTGGGCCTAGAGGGGGATTGGCTTCTTGTCCAGACACAAGGCTTTTCCCTTTCTGCAGAGGCAGCACATTCCTGCTCTGGGCATGTTCCTACCTGCAGGGAGGTGTTGGAATTGTTGGGGCTGGCTGGGTGGTTGAGGGCTCTGCAGCCCTGACATCCTCTTTGAAAGCAGAAGACTCTGCTCTTGGGAAAGTTGTCCCAGGAAGCCTTCAAAAATAAACAGACACAGAGACTTTGATAAAAGCTCAGTTCAAAGCCTGGCTTGGCCATCTGTGGGCTTTGAAAGGGAAATCTTGTTTTACTGAAAAGCTTAGCCTTGCAGTCCCAGGCCAGTTTGGGGTCAGGTGGTAAATAGGAGCCTTGGTGGGACTGCACTGCTTACCATCTCCCTCCTTTGCCTCTTTGAGATGTTTTTCCCTGTTGGTGGCCAGTGGGTTTTAAAAAAAGTGGCTCCCAGAAGAGAACAGAACTTGTTTGTTTGGCTGCCACCTTGGTGCTGCTGCATCATAAGCCATGATGGCCTCTGAGACACCAGGTCAGCCCCACAGGGAGTCAGGATGGAGCCACTGCCAGTCCCCACAGGGTTTGGAAACAACTTGGTGGCTCAGGCTGCTGTTTTTGCAATAACTGTGGAATGGCTCTCCAGAGACCATTAAACCCCCTCTATAGACAATGGGATTTATGGGAGAAAGAAGGAGTCTGGCACATACAGATTTTGTGAAGAACAAGTCCTTTCTTTAGGGCTGGACCAGCCCTCTGTGCTCCTAAAGAGAGGAGATGTCACCTCCTTTTTGAAAAGGGAAAAAGAAGCTGAGACAGAGCAGGAGATGCTGGAGGTGTACAAAGGAACAATGAGCTGAGCTTACTGAGGCCAGTGGAGTGTGAACCTCACAGGCTGTTGTTTGCCCACACTCCTGGTGGGTTCTGACACATTTCTCCAGTGAGCTCTTTGTTTATCCTCACTCTGCTGGATCAGTGTCCAGGCTCTTCCTGAGCTCAGCAGAGCCCCAGCAGGTAGAGCTGCTGCTGTCACGTCCCGTGGAGTGTCTGAGCCACCTGGCACTCGTGGTGTTTGCAGTTCCCTTTTCTGCTCTGGTAGTTTTTCATCTTCCAGCACAAGGCAGGAACTCGGTGGTTTCAGCAGCAGCTGCCCCGAGAGGAGAGAAGTGGTGGGATGGTTCAGGCAGGACTCAAGGGACAGTTTTCTGCTTGACCTGCTCCAAGGACACTGCCCAGAGAGCTCTGAGCTTGTAACTCGTCTTTCACAGCCTGAGGGCTTCTGGTTTGCCCACAGTTTCTGTGGCTTAATTCTTTGCTTGAAAAATGGATGGGATTCAAGAAGTAAGAGCTGGCTCTGCTTTTTACAAGGGATTAAGAAATACTTTTGCAGGCTGCTTTCCTCTTCCTATATTGTGGGACCACAGAGTACCTCTGGAATCCTGCTGAGTCAGCACAGAATGTGTCAAGGGGCAGCACATTTTGTGTTTTGGTTTTTTTTTTCTTTCTCCTTTTTTTTTCCTCCCTGTGGTTACATCTCACAGAGAAGACAAAGTGATTACCCATCACATGGAACCCGGAATTTTAAAATGAAAGCTACAGTGAGTTCTGTGTTGACAACTCTGAAGGTGTTTGGAGGTTTTGAAGCTCCAGGTCCTGTGGTCCTGGGATTAAAAAAGTCAGAACTTTCACTGAGTGCACAAATACTCTTTTGGTTTTACAGCTGCAGGTTGGGAAGTGTGACTCACCAAAACAACTGCTTCCAGCTGACCCCAGTCCTGTAGTTCATGAGCTGTCACCTTTGCTGGGCTGTGGGTCTGTCCCTGTTCAGCAGCTCCTGTGTTACACAAAAAATCACTTTAAAAAGCAGGGCTGGAGGACTTGGCTTGTCTCACATGGCAGAGCAGGGTCCCACAGCAGAGCAGAGGGAGGAGACTGAAAAGAGAAAAAGGCTTATCCCTTCTTTCACTGCTGCTCCGTGTTCGGGTTATTGAAGGTCAGTTGCTTTAAATTCCATATTTTCCGGGGGAGAAGGGATCGGACACATTCCAGATTCCTTAGATTTCTAAGTGATCTCATTTACAGCTCTGTCAAATAAGTTTGGGTCTTATCCATGACCTGATGTATGGCTGCAGATTTCCAGCATTTCTGGGGGATCAGAACAATCAGTTCTTCCTCCTTTGTCTGGTGCCTCTCGCCCTTTCTTTCCCTTCTAGAATTTTGCTTCTTGGCTGCAATGCCACTGGTTTTTTTTGGTATCTGCACCTGCCACGTTGTCTGAGTGTATGGGTTATAACCTAGGGCAGGCTTCAAACCCAAAGCTTCTCTCCAGGCTCTGTGTGCACAGACATGCAGTGAGAAACCCTTTTTCTTCCACGTCTCTGTGCTGAGCTCCCACACCGTATTTAACTGTGCCTTTATCTTGGATGGGCTCGTTGTGGTGCAACCCGGGGCTGTCCAGCTTTGTGTGGCAACACTCAGCAAGGGAAAATGCAAGCAGGGCATCCACAGGCTCTTCCCTTTTCCCAACAGGAAGCAGCATCTCCTGGTCACTGAGGGGCAGACCTAGAAAGACCTCAGAAAGACTTGTCAAGTAAGCGAGCACGTTCCCGCCCTGCTCCTTGGGGAGCTGCTGGCTGAGGCTTGGAGTGGAGGGAAAAAGAAGCTGTCCAAACCCACAAGACACAAGCTTTTCTTATCTAAGCACTGTCACATTGCAGGCAAACTCACAGCCCCTTGTTTTACAGGGAGCTGTGTTTGGGAGTGCTGGAGAAGTGGCTGACCAGGCTCCAGCAGCCCGGGTGGGTGGGATGGAGGGCGAGGGCCTGGATGGTCCTTCTCTTGGCAGCAGGGCCAGCTAGGAGGTACAGAACCAGGGGCTGGTGCTGGTGTGAGCTCAGGGCCGTGAGAGGCTGCTGAGCAGAGCTGTTGGGCAGCTGAGGTGGATGCTTTTGTCAGTCCACAGATTTACGCCGCGGAATTTGGGCTCAGTGTTTTTCGCATCAACTCGCGGGAGGAAAGGGGAGCAGTAAATGCTTTCATTCCTCTGGCTGAGCCAGGACAGGATGTTTCTGCAGCACCAAATCAATTGGCTGTTAATGCAGGGCTGTGGGAGCAGTGGCTGTGCTGCCAGCCCAGCTCTGACACCCCTCCTGAGCACACAAGTCCTCTCTGTGTCCTGACACCCCGTTGTTTCCTTGGGGCAAACAACACCCATCCAGACATGTGGGCATTGCCTTGTCACACTAATGAAGTGGATGCTGGTTGTCCTGTCACAGCTGAGACTGATTTTTCCTGCCTGATTTGCTACTGGAAAAAGCTTTGTACCATTCCTTTGTTTTTCTAAGCTAAATCTAAGCCCTGACTTCCACAGACAGGTTATATCTTCATCAGGCATTTTCCAGGCTGTTAGGAGAGACAATCAGATGGTGGAGTTATGGTGTCTCTGAAATACAGACTACAGACTTTGTCCAAGAATTTATTTTTCTCTTTGTGAGGCCGAGATTATAAATGTAGAAAAAACAGCTCACATTTGGAGTGGTTTTGAGCTGGCAGTTCAGCTGAGAGTGCTGCCCAGTTTTGTTCTCTGCTGTCCCTGCCCAGTCTTTTGTGATAGGAGAAGGGAAGGAAACAGAGTTTGTCCTCAGCCCATGCATTAGTGCTAAAATAACCCCAGTCTGGAGTTAATTTTCTCTTTTGAAATTCATAAATTCCAGGGCTAAAAAAAAAAAAAAAAGCCCAGCTTTTGTCAGGAGGACATTGTGCCTCTGACATTAGCAGGACAAAACATCTAATGATCTTGATGGAGCCCACTTGGGCTTGAGTGGTTAGAGAGATGAATGATGCTCTTGTGCTGGGAATCTGAATCCTGCTCTCAAATCATGATGCCAGGAGACCTTCTAGACCCCTCCTATACAAAGAGCAGGAGGGACTGGACCAGAGAAATGCGGAAACAAAGGCATTGACTGACTCCTTGCAAAGTTCTTCCTGTGTAGATCTGAGTCACTTGAGTTGGGGAGAGTTGCAGTGTCACCCAGAGCACTGCAGTGTTAACTGGGCAGACAATGTGTGTGCCAGGAGGGTGAGGAGAAACAGCCAAGGTAATACATAAATATTAACAGAAAGGGAGGAATAGATGGAACAATAACAGAGGAGGTGGCTGATTTTGAGTGTGTTTGTCGTTCTCTCTTCCTTTTGTTGTCAGTAACATTCTTTATTTTCTGCTTTGACAGGTTCTGTGTGTTCATATTCAGGTGAGTGACATCTTTGTCATCTGCCTGGTTTTGTGATCATGAGAACAAATGAGGGACCCTGAATCCATGGCAGGCACTGGGGGGTTCACTGCTAACTTCCATGGATGGGAGCCATGCATCCCATGCACTGGTGTCTCTAAACTTTGATTAAACTGGGGGCTAAGATTAGGAAGGGTGGGTAGGACAGGTCAGGTGTACAATCCTGATAACAGACATCACACAGACATTGCTTTCACTGGCTGAAATCAGTGTGTCAAGTTTTTGTATTACATTTCTTTATTAGGCAAAGGTTCTTCCCCCAGAGGGTGGTTGGGCACCAAACGGGCTCCCCAGGGTTTGGTCACGGCCCCAAAGCTGCCAGAGCTCAAGGAGTGTTTGGAGGGAGAGGGTGGGATTGTTGAGGTGTCTGTGCAGGGCCAGGAGTTGGACTGGGTGATCCTTGTGGGTCCCTTTCAACTTGAGATATTTCATAATTGCCCACGAGAGTGCCCTGTGCTGGTCTTGAGGGTCACTTTTGGGCAGAAGATGCGCAGAGAGATTCCGGGGCGGGTCCGAGTCCAACTCTACTGTCCTCACACTGTTAACTCCGATCTCTGCTCTCTGCTCCTTGGCTCTCAGTGCCAGCTGATGCCTCCAACCCCGAGAGCGTGGTGGTGTCCGTGCTGAACATCAGTGCTGTGCTGGGCTCTCAGGCCGTGCTGCCCTGCAAGAGCCACCGCATGGTGTGGACCCAGGACCGGCTCAACGACCGGCAGCGCGTCGTGCACTGGGACGTGCACAGCACCTACTACGGGGACAACAAGATGGAGAGGCTCTGTGACATGTACTCTGCTGGGGACCAGCGTGTCTACAGCTCCTACAACCGGGGCAGGATCTTCATGCCCGAGAACGCCTTTGTAGAGGGCAACTTCTCCCTGGTGATCAAAGGTACGAGGCGGGAGCTCTTCGCTCCGCGCTGTTTTGAGGGGTGGAGGGTTCGTGACTGACTTAACTTGGTGGTTTGTGGTGAAAGTGGGTGTTTCACAGTGCATTTTCTATAGGAAAAATATCAGTCCAGTGAGTCTAATTCTCAGGAGGAATTTCTCCACTGAAAGGGTGGTCAGGCGTTGGAAGGGGCTGCCCAGGGAGGTGGTGGATTCCCCATCCCTGGACATGTCCAGGAAGCAACTGGACATGGCACTGAGTGCTCTGGGCTGGTTGTCTAGGGGGTGATTGCTCACAGGTTGGACTCAGTGATCTCAGAGGTCTTTTCCAACCTAAATTATTCCGTGAGGTTCTCTGAAGCACTGGCAATAGCGTTTTAATTGCCTTTGAAACAGTCACATTTTGAAAGAGAATTTGTAACAGCCTGAAAACCACTTGGGCTTTTTGTGGACCTTTGATTGTATTTAATTTCCTGAGCTATAAACACTTGATGGTCGTTCTTCCTCTGCCTGCTCTAGCTAAACTTAAATCAGCTTTCTCTTTCCATCTGTTAATACAAATACCTGCCTTCCAAGGGCAAAAAACTGAGCAAATTATTAGATTAAGTGAGATGATTTGTCTCTGTTTAACCCACCCTAGAACTAAGTTGTATAAAGGGCCTTTTCATCCATATGAGGATTTGGGAAACAGCGTAAATGATGAAGAGAATAAAACATTCAGCTTCTCCTCTCTTCCCTGCTGTACCAGGTGTTGCAGAGAGTGATGAAGGCATATACTCCTGTAATCTTCACCATCACTACTGCCACTTGTATGAAACTGAGAAAATCCAGCTCACCATCACCAAGAAAGGTAGGTGTGGCTGAGAGCTCTGTGTCCCTCCTGGGAGGGACCTGGTCTGGCAGCTGGAGTCCAGTGGCCAGCAGGGCTCTTGGGTTCACAGTGGGGTGTGTGTGCTGGTTCACTGCAGGCCTTGCACACTGTTCTGCTCGAGAAGAACCTGCAGGGTTCTTCCCATGTCGTCTCAGTTGCAGGGTCAGGGCACAGGTGCCACCAGAGGCCTGGGAAGCACCAGCAGAACGTGGTGCTCACTGTGCTGCTTTGCTGTCTGATTCCCTGAGTTTCAGAGGTTTCATTCAGTGTGTGTGTTTGTGAACCTCCCTCCTTTCTTGGCATGTGCCACACAGTGCCTGGAGCCTGTTTACTCTTGGCAGCCCATTTCCCAAACTGTCCTGTTGCTTCTGCAGCAGCAGCACATGCCTGGTGACAGTCCATCCCCACTCAGCTCAGCCACAAAGACCTGCCCTGTACATTGGCTTCTGAGCTTGTCCTGAGAAGTCTGTACTTAAAAACCCACCTCGAGTTACCACACCTTAAGCCCAGCTCTAAAAGCAAGCTGCTGGCAGCTGCAGTGTGTGCCACCCACGCCACACAGCCACCACTACCATGCCATTAAAATCGACCCCTGGGGAACACACAAGTGAAGCTGCTGGGGCTGGTTGTGCTGGGAAGCTGTTGGAGGATTGATGGGAGAGGAGGGAAGTGCATCTCCTCTGCTGCTGCTCGCACCCTGTGAGCCCCAATCTGCTCAGCTGCGTTTTTGGTTCTCCTGTTGTTCCTTTTCAAAAGCAAAATACAGAGCAGAGCTGCTTCGACTCCTCCAGCAATTAGGGCCTTTGTGGGTAGCAAAGCATTTCCTGCTCGGAGGATTGGGATGCAGCACATCCAAGATCCTCGTTCCATTCTTAGTCTGGAGAGGGAATATGCTTCCTGCTTTCTGCAGCAAGAGATTAACTCTCAGTTACAAGGAAAAGAAAGTGGCCTTGCTTAAAACACTGACCAAGGGTATAGAAGATACACTGAGGGCACTTGGTGTGTTCAGCTGGAGAAGAGGAGACTGAGGGGAGACCTCACTGCAGTTCCAACTTCGTGGGGAGGGGCAGGGACTGAGCTCTGCTCTGTGGGGACCAGGGTTAGGACCCCAGGGAATGGCTGGAGCTGTGTCGGGGCAGGTTTAGGTTGGATATTAGGAAAAGGTGCCTCCCCCAGAGGGTGGTTGGCACTGACCAGGCTCCCCAGGGCAGTGGGCACAGCCCCAAGGCTGCCAGAGCTCCAGGAGTGTTTGGATGATCCTCTCAGGCACATGGTGTGACTCTTGGGGATGGGCCTGTGCAGGGCCAGGAGTTGGACTTGATGATCCTTGTGGGTCCCTTCCAGCTCAGCATATTCAGTGATTCTGAACAGCAGGAATTATATTAACAAGAACCCTCTCCTTCACTTGTCTGGCTACCCTGTCACCTGAATGTGAACCAGAGAAGCCATTTGTAGACTTGTGAGCTGTCTACAATTTTTCTAACACGATTTTTTAAGCCCTGTCCTCTAATGTTGAGACTCAGTTCCTCTGAAACCCCTCAGTACTTTTGCTTTCTGAGCATATGCCAGAAAGGTGTGAAGCTCAAGGAGCATTTGGGTGATCCTCCGGGGCACAGGGTGTGACTCTTGGGGACGTTCCTGTGCAGGGCTGAGGGCTGGACTCGATGACCCTTGTGGGTCTGATGCCTAAAAGAAAACTCAGGGAGAAAAAAAACTCCGAGGCAACTTAATTTTTGGAGGTAAGGTGAGGGAAGGTTTAATGATGTAACAACTTACGGGGGCTGCTGCTCGATCCAGTGTTACAATTTTTATAGTATTGTCTGTCCAACCCCTGATTTTATCCACCCCCCCAGCCCTTACACTGATCCACTCCCGCCCCATCCCTTGGGAATTGGGTCTGGGGTCGTATTGGGACCCTTTTCTTCCTCATTTTGGCCTTCTTCAGGGTACAAAGTGCACACAGTCACCCAGTTCTTGGTCATATCTTGCGGTTCAGGCCAGGGAGCAAATGTTCTTAAACAGTAGAAAGCCTACCTAGGAGAGAGACTAAACATGCCAAATGGAATTTAAGGGGAATTGATGCGGGGAACATGGAATGGGGGTGAGAGGGTTGGGGAATATGTGCAGCTAAAGGGTGAGGGAATGAATGCAGCCGCTTTTAAAATCTGCTTCTGCTATGTAACTACTTCTAAAACTTATAAAAATTAGAAAAAATAAAAAAAAATAAAAAAAAAAATCAAAAAAACCTTAAGGCTGGGTAGATCCAGTGACTCTGGATGTGTTGCCCCCGCAGCCGAGGACACCGGCGAGTTCTGGGACGGGGAGAAGCCGGTGGTGGTGGCCCTGCAGGGCAGCACCGTGACGCTGCCCTGCGTCAACCGCAACCACATCTGGACGGAGCGGCACAGCGAGGAGGAGCAGCAGGTCGTGCACTGGGACCGGCAGCCCCCCGGGGTGCCCCACGACCGCGCCGACCGCCTCGTCGACCTGTACGCCTCCGGCGAGCGCCGCTCCTACGGGCCCCTCTTCGTGCGCCGCAAGATGAACGTCACCGACGCCGCCTTCGCCCTGGGCGACTTCTCCCTGCGGATCTCGGAGCTGGAGAGCGCCGACGAGGGCACCTACTCCTGCCACCTGCACCACCACTACTGCGGCCTGCACGAGCGCAGGATCTACCGCGTGTCCGTGACCGAGCCCGTGGCCAGGGAGAGGAAGGTGGTGAACCTCACCACCCACAACGTCGCCCCGGCCGTAGGTGAGTGGCCTCTGGAAGCCTCTGGAAGCGGCTCTCCTGGTTGAGGGTGGGTCTCTACCAGTTGCACCTTTGGGGTTGTTCCCAAGCTACTCCCGTTGTGTGCCCAGAGCTGGGTGCGTGGCCACTCTTGACTGTCTCCTGTCTGGTGTGCCAGTCTTCATAAAACCGAATCCTATTTTTTTCCCCCCAAGTGCTGTCTGCTTGTTTCCAAGGTGTAGAAAATTTCCAAATCATATCTGAAGTTACAATTGAATGAAACCTTCTCAAGAATATTTTCTTGGTACTTGGTGCCTTAAAAATAAATAAGTAAACACGCAAACAATTAGGTACACAACCAGCTGAAGCCCATTGTCACTACTTTGCCTCTGATTAATGTAGGTCACACTTTTCTTCCTTCCAGCTATTAAGTATTTAGATCCATTTATACTTTCATCCCGTGTCTTTTTCCTGGTCCTTTGTTGCTGTGTTACATCCTCACAGTCAGAGAGCATTGAACTAAGTGGTGGAAAAATGGGAAGAGGGAGTTAAGGCAGTAATCCAGCTTTGAAACAAACCACCCAGGAGCCACCAGGAGGGGAGTGTGGGCCATTCACTCAAGAGTTGGACTCAGTGGTCCTTGTGGGTCCCTTCCAACTCAGAACACTCTGGGAAATCTGGGAAATCCCTGAGTGTCCCACCCCTGAGGGTCGCTCGCCCTGCTCGCAGTGCTGTGGTGGCACCATGTCAGCTCCTGTTTCCTCTGCTCCAGGGCAGTCCTGAGCCTGCTCTGCTCTCACTGCTGACAGGCCCCGAGGCAAACAAGCTGTTTTTGGAACATGCTCCCTTTCCTCCTTGCTTTTGGGATCAGGAGAAGGTGTGGGCAGAGGATTGATACTGCTTGTGCTGTTACAACATGCCACCACTCTCACCAGTGTTTCTCTCCCCTTTGCACGGGTGTTTGGGCTGTGCAAGGTGCCAGACCATGCAGAATTAAGCCCCAGGAATTTTCCTCCACCCTTCAACTTTTCTTTTTTTTTGCATCTTAAACCAATTTTCATATTTTCCACTGCACTGAGCTATCATCTGACAGCCTGTCCAAACTCAAAACCATCACGCTTCATTCAGGCAGAAAAACAAAATAAAAAAACCTCAAGTTTAATATTTTTTTTAAAGTCTTTTGGGCATAGTTCTTTATTAACATTTTAAAATATTCATTGTGGTTTAATATTTATTGGCTGTTTAATACAGAATTTTGATACGCTTCATTCATTTTTAAATAGGTTTATTCTTCTCTAGAAATTGGTTTTCTCAAGTCACAGAAACCTAAACCTCCCCCCTGGGGTTGAGGTTGGTGTCCAGAAAACCCTGGCAGTGCTAAGGAGAGGTGGCTGTTGGGGCTGACATGGAGACCAGGACGTCCAAATCTCAGCGTCCCTGCCTGCAGCCCTCTCCAGATCACGCTGTGCAGATGGAAACTTGATCTTGTTTTCGGAGTTGTCCACCCAGGAATTTATTCCTCTCTTTCCTGGATGTTGTCCTGGCTGTTGCTGAATAGTTCCCTACCTGCTCAGCACTTAGATGGAACCTCTAAAGTTGTTTAACCTGCCAGGGGCTGTCTCAGTTTGGCAGCGGCGCCCTCGGTGCTGGAGGAAATTTTCCTTCCTGGGAAAAGCCATTTCCACTGTCGGAAAGAGCAACCTCTGGAAGAGCTTTGCCCCTCCGGGCAGTGAACCCTCAGCTGGTCTGAGAGCACCACGCACAGGAATGTGCTGAGTGCATGGGAATGTGCAAGAAGTGGAGACATCCGGAGTGCCTGTCCCAACCCACGCTGCTGAGGAGCCTGCAGGGACATGCCCTGCTTGGGGTGCAGCACCCCGGGCTGAGGTGCTGCCCCATTCCCTGGAAAACTGTATGGAATCGTGGGCAATATAACAGAAATGAAACCTCAGGAGGTAACAAAAGCACAACAATGAGCTGCTTCAGCAAGCAGCTACAGCTTCTGGCCTTGCTCCAAAAGGCCTGGAGCCATTTCCAGACAGGAAATTTCGTCCTGTTTGGAAGAGAGGCCGGAGCTCAGCTCTGCTCCCAGTCCCAGCAGTGTAACTGTGGTGTAAATGCCTGCTAACCCAGAGCAGTTTTACTCGGTGTTTGCTTTGGAGCAAAGATGCTGAAGAATGGCATCTGCTGTGTCTCCTGCTTGGTGCTGAACCATTCACAACCCTTTGCCAGCCCTGAACAGAAAACAGGCCCCGTGGCCAGGTTTGGGAGCTCTCTTGGTGGAGAGCTCTCCGTTTTCTCCAGCAGAAGAATCTGACCCTTGACGCTTTGGGAAAGTGGTGTAAGGAACCCCTGATCTAATTTTTCTTTAGAACTTTTTTTCAGTAATTAAGCCAGATCCTGTGGGTGAACTGGAGATGACAGATGGCCGTGAGATGTACTGAGAGATCAGATCTCGGTTACAGAATAAACTTTCATCAGCTCAGCTTGAATTCTGGTCTAGGAGTAGGGTGAGGAGGAGAGTCTGTATGACCTTGATGATCCTGTTTTGGGCACTGAAATTCACTGGTGTGACTGAATCAGCTGTCACTCTGTGCCTCAGCTTCCCCAGTTATAAAATGGGTTATATTCTACTGCCTTCCTGATGATGCATTTTGAGGCCCACCAGTGATGCTTTGTCTAAACACAGGTGTGACAAGTATTTTTAGTATTATTTGAGTAAGCCAAGGAGGCCCCAAGTTACTTAATCTCTGTTTCCACTGTTTGTTGTCACAGTGACCTCTCCAATGCTGCCTTAAGTTTAGCTCAGCTCTCAATCCTGCCTTGCAGGACTGTGGGAAAGCAAAAAGCCAGGAATAGGATGCCTTTGTTTGCTGACTCCTGGCTCAACAGCTGCTCCAGTGGCACCATCTCATTGTGGCAGCTGCTGGAGGAGCCTTCCAGGGTCCAGGGATGTGACAAAGCAGAACTGTCACAAGTACTGTTTGCAGCTTTGCAAGTGGGTTTTTTGGTTGGGTATTTTTGTAGCTTGGCAGTGGTGAAAAAAAAACACATGGTAGTTTCCAGCAGTGCAGCCAGGGAGCACACGGCATCTGGCAGTGCCAGGATAAACTGGAAGCTGCTGGAGTGGAGCTCTGGGCTACCAGAATGGAGCCTATTGCTCAAACTTCTGCATTTTCTAGGACTGCTGCTGGCATTAGCAAACTGTCACCTCTGTTTTCAAAGTGTTTATTTCAATCCACTCTTGTGTTATTTGATTTTTACTTTTGGTGGGTTGGTGTTTTTTTGAACACTGGAAACAAACTCCCTGACAAACTGGAACCAGTCACTGTGCCAGCACTTCCAGAAATGTCAACATTCCTCATATTAGCACACATCTGTTAAGTGGTACTGTGGCTTTTGAGGTATTTCCCCCCATCTTTTCCCTTATTCCCTCTGACTGATTTGCAGGGGGAACTCCCAAGGGAATGGAAGGCCAGGACTCCATCCTGGTTCTTGCCTGTGAATGTTCCCTGTCAGGGGGTGAGAGTGTCATTTCAGCTGTTTTGAAGAGAAAAACCTCTCCCAGCACAGTCTTATGTGTTTCCAGTCTGTTCCAGGGCTGGATTTGTCCATTCCTCTGCCTATTGCAAGCAGAGAAGTCACTTCCTCTTTATATGTGTAAAACATTGACCTATTTATTTGAGACCTACAGAAACGTTCCACGTAAAAGTTTGGAGCTCCCCTTCCCCAGTTCCAGTGCTGTGGAACTGAAATGCTGCTGCACCCACAAATGGAATGGAATCTTGGCTTTTCTTTGTGGTTTTTTTTTCTTGGTTTATTTATTTTATTGATTTTTATTTCATTTCAAAGGAAAACTTATTCTTTTGGCGTTGAAAATTCCTCCCACTCCGTAAATTATAACCTCCCTTGGCAGGGAGGGGCTGCTTCATATTTTCCCTGCCTGGAGCCTGAGCAGTGTGGGGTGTGTGTTGAGAGGGACCCAGAGGAGAGTTGTGTTACCCTCAGGAAGGTTTGGGGCTGGGTTTTGGGGGTGACTTTTCTCTGAACTTCCCCTCTGCAATAAACACTGATGGCTGGGCAGTGGGAAGGGAATGTGGAACAGTCACTGTTAAAACTTCATCTTCCTGGGAATTGTGGTCTTGTGAAGAGCACAGGCATCTCCCACCTGAGATAAATCAGAGGTTTTGTAAATCAGGCAGGGATTTGCAGCTCAGAAGAGTTTCTTCCTGAATATCCTTCTTGTGCCCATGTGTGATCCTGCTTTGCTCTGGATGCCAATTACAATGATCAACCTGTTTGCCTTTCTCTCAGACCCAAACGTTGTCAGGGGCCACAATGTGATAAATGTCATCATCCCTGAGAGCAGGATGCACTTCTTCCAGCAGCTGGGATACATCCTGGCAACCCTGCTGCTCTTCATCGTCCTCCTCATCATCGTGGTGCTCGTCACCCGCAAGCGCCGGCAGAGAGGTGAGTGCCAGAAAAATCACAGCCCTGTCCTGCTTGGGGGGGTATCCTGGGATGATCCTGCAAGTAATTCCTGCAAAACACCCTGCTGAAGGCAAGGATCCCCTCCTGGCAAACCAGCAGCCTGCACAGGGAGGGTTAATTAATCCAGGTGCTGATGCCTGGATTAATTAGTGGGGTGTAAAAATTTCCAGGCCTCGATTTCACAGAGTCATTAAGGTTGGAAAAGACCCCTGGGGTCATCAAGAACCAGCCTTTGACCAAATACCACTCATGATTTGCTGAGTTATGCTGTTGGAAGGGAGAAGAAAACTAGGAGTGCCAGACAGCTTCTCTTTACAAGTGGGATTTATTTAGAGCAGAAGGCTCGTGTGCATCCCTTGGGAACTCAGATGTCCAAGTCCTTGCTGGACTCCCTGGGCTGGGTGACCCTGGAAGAATTAGATGAACAGACACTGAGATCTTCTGGTGACTTCCACACCACTAGTTTTGGGTGCCCCACGAAAAGCAAATCCCAGGAATGTCTGTCTGCTGGAGTGTTCTTTGCAGTGCCACGTTCACCCTTATTTGTGTGTCAGGGGATTAGCACCAACAAAGTGTGAAAAGATACCAGGGGTTATCATTGCCAGAGGAAGGGCTTGGCTGCACTGGCCCTGACTGCTCATTCTGTCTCTTCTCCCTTTTCAGGTTATGAATATAACGTGAAGAAATATGGAGAGTAAGTATAATTACAGGGTCTGTTATTTAGGATTAAAAGGCATAAAAGGCAACTTGTGGCCCCTTTCCTCAGTTGTCATTAAGGACCTAAAACAGCTGAGGATTTGGTTAGAAGGAGAAAGTGGTTTGTAGGGCTGGTTTGGCAATTGCATTTCCTCTTGTTCTGCTTTGGGAACTGAATCCCAGATCCTGGTTCTGTGAGACATCATTAGGAATTAGTGGTATAGGAATAATGCACAGATCTGCTATGGGATGGGGCCATGTATCTGGGTTCCTTTATGGTTTATTTAATATTATTAATAAATTGGAAGAGATGGGAAGTTCCAGTACAGGTTGGCTGTCTGTTGTTCTAAGCTCTGGACAAACACATGGGGGAAAAAAGAGATCCAGCTATACCAAATAAACACCATAAATTAAATTCCCCAAAGTCCCATTAGAAAAGCTATCGTGAAAAAGTGTGAAAGGAGACAGCTATTAGAGGATGTGACAATATTCCACTGTTATTCCCTTTACAGGAAGGATGTGAACCTTAAGGAATTTACAGTGGACACAACAGATCTGACCCCACACAAAAGTGAAGACATCAGGCTGGGTATGTGTCAGTTGGCAACCCTGTGCCAAACCAGGTCAAAACTCCTTGTAGCTCAGGAGCTTCTAATGGCATTTGGATGCCCATTTTCAGGTGACTTAACCTCCTCCTCTTTAACCTCTTGAAAGTGGGTGTGGAGATGGGGATGAAGGGAAATCCAGGTTTAGCTGAGTTCATTCTGTCCATCTTTTGTTGAAGCCACTTTGGTTTAACTGTTAAATTCCATCCTTCCTGGGTGTCAAAAATTTAGTGAACATTTGGGTCTTTTATCCAGATCTGTGAGAGCAATTAGGGCAAATAAACTTGGGGAAAATGGCAGGGAAAAAATTTGCAACAGAGGTCCTAAGACACAAAAGGGAAAATACAAACCCCACTGGAACTCGTGGGGACGTGAAACACTGAGAAGAGGGGAAGGAAGCTCATCTTACAGGTGATCATGTTGTAAACCAGGAAACAATTAAACAGTTATCCCTTTTTTTTTGTCTCTTTGCACCCCCAAAAAAGGTACAACCTTTAAAAGAACAGGCTGACAAACTTTAGGGCCCAAGCTACAGAATTGCTGTAAAGGGCCCACTAAACAAGAGGAAGGAAAGAACAGAGGGATTGCAAAGGGTGGGTTGCAAAAATTCTTCTTTGCGTGTCCCAGGAGGGAAAAATCCCCTGAATAACTGCATCAGTCACCTCGAAGTGAGCTTTGAGTGGATGATCCAGAGCTTTCTGTTACGTGCTGGGAGAATCTGTGGTACCTGTGAGGAGCAGGAACCCGAAATATCCATGACTGATTAGTGCCAGGGGCAAAAATGAGGTGGCAGCAGCTTTCCTTTTGCTGCTGAGTGGCTGAGTAACTCCACTCCTAGAAATCTGAAGGCCTGGAGTACATCAAGGAAGGACTGATCGTGTGTGTCTTGCCTGTAAAACTCTTGTTTTCTTTTAATATTCTAATGTCTGCCTGAACCACGCTCCTCCCTTGCACAGATTACAAAAACAACATCCTGAAGGAGAAGGCTGAGCAAGCCAGAAGCTTCCCAGCAAAGAACATTGATTTAGACAAAGGTAATAATGACTTGCTTTCCCCCTAATTGGTGGCTGTAGGAACCTTCTGCTGGGCAGCAGGAGGGAGCAACTCAGTCCATCAGTGAGCTGACCAAGCCACAGCCCAGGCAGGAATGATAAACACCCTGGCAAATGGCAGCAGGAATGAGGAGCCAGTTCCCTGCCCATCCTTTCATCATGGAGCCACAAGATGCAAGTGGTGATTAGGCTTTTGAAAGCTTTTGGCGTGGCCCAAACCGAATTTTTCTTTATTGGAAAAAGAATGCCTGGCAGGGCTGGAATAGGGCCTGCTCTACTGTAACCTCAGAGGGAGATGGATCCCAAAAATGTCCTGGCAGTGCTGTTTGGGGAGAAAACACTGTGCTGAAGATAGTGTTTTGAGCTGAATTAATTTATGGGCAGTCACTCACTTCATCCAACAAAAGCAAACAGCTCTCCCTCCCTGGGGGCCGAATCTCCTTTTGCTTCCCCAGTATTAATCCTGAGAGTTGTGCCTCAGTTTGTAGAGTAGCACTTATGTCAAGCAGTGCTTGTAATAAGCTGTTAGATTCCATGACTCATTTAAGAGGAATTTAGAATATAACAAATGGGACTGAAATGATACCGAGCAGGGAATGGTCTGGAGAGCCCAGGAGCTGCCTCAGACCTGCTGTCCCTGCTGGAGTTCTCAGGATACTTTTTCCCTGCATTCTTCAGAGGTGATCTGTGCAATAATTTATACACTGGGGGCTTTATGAGGGGATATTTATATATATTCCTGAGGGGGGACTGGGGACGTGGCTGACTGCAAACTTGTCACTGCCTAGAGAAGTCCATATTTTTGTGCTCATTTGAAAGGTTTGAAATCCCTCTCCAGGTGCTGACCTCCATTTCCATTTGCTTTCAGATTTCAGGAAGGAATATTGTAAATGAAGACATTCCCAAGCTGCTGGCTGGACCAGAAGCTTCAACCAAAGATAGATAACATGGAAGAGAGATGACTTTTCTTAATACCATCTCCCTCCAGTTCCCATAGAGTTGTTTTTGTTTTTTTTTTCACATAGACTTGAGGGTGTTTGCAAATGCTTCTTGAAAGAGTTAGACTGTCTTGTGTGCATTTATGGGTTTGGGTTGCCTTTCCTCCTCGTCTCCCAGTCCTCCATTCCCCTCTTCTTTTCTTGATATTATTGTTGGTTTTATGCATCAATGATTTTTATGAGCTGAATCAGCAGACCTTTTGCTTTGATGTTATTGCTTTAAATAAACCAACCTGCATCACTGCTCTGGAGCCATCATTATATATCAGGCATTTTTCCATGTAGTGTATTCATCAGAATAATAATAATAGCAGAGCCTGATCTCCCGTGGGCTGGCATAAATCAGTGTCACACAGCACTTTACACGTTCCAGGTGAAGCACAAAGAGCACAGCCCTCCCAAATGGCAATATAAATACCTCATTTTGTGAATGGGGAAATGTCAGGATCCTCATTTTGCAGGGGAAAGGGAGGCAGATAAATGACCACGAGTAGATTGGGTTCAGCCCCAAAGAGCTCTGGAAGCTGAACTCTGTATTTCTCACTCTGAGCTTGTTTGTTTTCATTTCAGTGCAGATCAAATCATATTTGGCAGGAGCAGACACTTGAGTGATGGAGTTGCAGTGCTGTAACACCAGTCTCAGTTAGATCAGATCCAGGAATGCTTTGGAGGGGGCTGAACTCCTGTGTGGAACCTGGGATGGGATTTTTCTGCAGTCCTTGGGTGGACCCAGGCCACGCAGAGCACATCAACCCACAGGTATGGTTCCAGCACAGGCAGGTTGGAAATGGGAGCAGCTCCTCAGGAGCAGCCCCTGAGGAACAAGAGCAACAGCAGTGAAGAGCCTGTCAGGAATTTTGGTGGGCCAGGGCCTCAGAAGGGCAATCCAGGAGTGAGAGTAATCCATTCTCATGGATTTTGGCGTTGTTTTGGTGAGTGGACACCTGAGGTAGTGGGGCTGTGGGCTGAAGGGGAGTTCTACATATGAACAGCATGTCAGGTGGGGATGCCAAAAAATCAGGAGTTAATTCGGTGTTGTGATCCAAGCAGGTTAAAGCACCGTGGAAGCTGGGGAATATTAACAGTTCTACACAGCTCCTCTGACCACCTGGGGTGTTCTGGGGCACCATTCCCAGACCAGGCACTCCCACGGTCCTTGGGGCACAGAAGGAAAGGTTGTGAGCACGATGACAGTGAGTTGTGCAAGGGTGAAGGTGGCTGAGGGTTGCCAGGGGTGAAGGTGGCTGAGGGTTGCCAGGGGTGAAGGTGGCTGAGGGTTGCCAAGGGTGAAGGTGGCTGAGGGTTGCCAAGGGTGAAGGTGGCTGAGGGTTGCCAAGGGTGAAGGTGGCTGAGGGTTGCCAAGGGTGAAGGTGGCTGAGGGTTGCCAACCTACTCTGGAGAGAGTGGCAGAGGGAGGGGTTGTGTGTGGGCTTGGTGACTGGGTGGAACTGGGGGCAGGGTCTCCAGGACCCCTTTCTTTCTGCCCCTGCCAACTTGGGTGTCTTGTCTGACTGATGCCAATGTTCTTAGACATCTAAATCCCATTCCAGGCTCTGTGTCCCTCCTCCCACGAGCACCTGGTGTGTGCCAGGGCTGGGGAGGACTCCCAGCAGGTCCCAGGGATGCTGCACTGGGTGGGATGGTCCTGAAAAGCTGAGCTCAGCTGCCCAGCTCTGCCAAAAGCGTGGTGGGTGAAGCCTCCTGTGTGCCAGAGGAGCTGTACTGTCTGTTCAGAAGGTTGGACACCACGACTTCAATGCACACTTTTTATAGGGGTAGAAAACGGTCCATGTGCATTTCTTTAGATATCAATACTTCTCTCTGTTAGTGGGGTCTATGTGAAAGAATAACTATAGTGAGGACCCTTATTTTTAATGCCTTCAAGTGGTAAATATTAATAATAGAATATAAGTAGAGGTGGAGTTCCTTATCTTTTAGTTTGCTTAGCCCTTCCACTGCTCTCTGGACACCTTTTGGGATTTGCAATTAACTGCCTTTTTCTTCATTTAAGAATCACCTCTACAGAAGTGCTCAGGTTGGGCAGACCCATGAGTAGTGGAGAGGAGGGTCTGGGCTTGGTCCCAGGCCCCTTTTTGCCGCCTTCTCCCCAAAACAGCCAGGAATTCTCAGCCTGCCTTAGGGCTGGGGCTGATTGAAACCCAGGCTGCATTCCTGCAGGTGCAGGAGGCTCTGCTGGTTATTCCATCAGGGTGGCAGAGTCTCAAGTAATTGTCATTAATGTCTCTCTCCCTCCCTTTCATGTCTGTGAGTCAAAGGCTGGAGATTTTCACTTGCCAGTTCCAATTGCTGAGCACAGCTCACAGAGACACCAGCTCAAAGTGGGGCTCCTCATAAGCTCCAGGGGCATTTAAATACTTCAGTGGACTTCTAGGCTGCAAAACAGCTTAAGGGGAGAAAAATTAATATGTTCTCTGTAACAAGGACTAGGAAGAGCTTTATGAGTTCCTCATCCTTGCTTTGATCACTAGTTGGAATTTGGGTAATGGTCAGACACGTCAGCATAACCCTGGGCTGGTCAAGTTGGGATTGTGGCCCTTTTTCCTTCAGGAGAGGCACATGCTGAGTGATTTGCCTGCTGATCACAGCAGTGGGTTTCAAAAAGCAGCTGCCACATCCAGTGTGTGTAATTTAGGGTGTCAAAATTCTGGCTGAAGGAGACCCAGGCAAGACTGCTGGACAACCAACTGTATTTTCAAACTGTTGAAAAAAAGAGAAAAGGACAACTGGAACAGTAAACTGAAGAGTTCTGGCTGTTTATTTCTTAATGCAGAGGGATTATCAAAGGCTGTTTGCCCTCAAATAGTGGTGAGAAGCCACTCGGGTTTTTCACAGTGCACTTTGCAGTCTGTCAGTCTCTGGCACGGGGGGAAGTTCCATGTAGCTGATCTTGCATGTGAAAATTAAAAGGTTCAAGTTGCAGGACCACTGCTCTCTGTCCCTGCTCTGCCACAGACTCACTGCAGTGCCAGACAGGTTGGTTTTCTCTCTCTCTCTCATCTCAGCCTTTCTTTCCCTAATCTGGGGCTGTAACTTGCCTCTGGTGGAGAAACACCTTTTTAAAGTGTGTAGCACTTTGGTAAATGTGCATTGCCCGAGTTATTGGAGATGATGTTCTCCCTGTACCAATTAAATGTTGCACCTTGACAGACTCCTTTGCCTGTCACTTTGCAGGCTTTGCCTCATCACAGCCTCCCTGGCTTCCTGAGACATGCATTTTATGTTCAGTTAGTCAAAATAGTAATAATCCCTAATTTTTACAGCAGTTCCTCCTCAGTGAGTACTGAGGCTCAATGAGGGCAGAGAAATCAAAGTCTCTTTTAGGATAATGTGTGGACTGTCAGCCCTTGGTGTGGGACAAGGAAAGGCTGTTTGGCAGTGACCTTGAAAGGGGTTAAAACTGAGACTAGAACTAGACTCTTTTCAGCTCTGTGCACACTCTGCTTCCTCTCCAGACTGAGAGAAGGACTTAGTCCAGAAAGCTTGTGGTTTGTTTTTTTCTTTTTAATTTGTTGTAACTGAATTAATTTTCATTATTATTGTTGCTTAACTTTTACCATTTGTCATTGCTGTGTAATTCCTAGTGTTTAAGAAATAAAGGAGAATTTAATGGAGTTTCCAGCTAAGGTTGGTTTTATTTCTTGCTCTTTGGAGATGCTACCTGAGCCATTAGCCAGCATTAGCTAATTCTTCCCAAGAGCTGTGCAGTGTGTTTCATCTCAGAGCATCCTAAAGTGCTTTACAAAGTGCAGATTGGATTCAATAAGTTATTCCAGTGATTCCAATATCCTTTCCACGTTGGGACATTATTATTTGACAGGGTCATGGGGCCCGTGGAGAAATAGCAGCTCTCCAAAAGTGTTGTGTAACGGGCGGATCCGCAGCTGGAGATGGAGTTCAAACCATCCATCAGAGGGGAAGGCTGGCAGCTCTTCCACAGGATTTAATTTTGCAGGTCCAGAAGGGAAGATAACACATCCTGCTGGAATATGTTATTTCACTCCCAGCCCAGATTCCTCTTTGCTTGCAGAACTCACACCTTGCGAAGTTCTTCCTGCTGCACATTCTGCTCTTGGAGGGTTTCCACCCCCTGAGCACTATCCCAGCTGGCACCAGAGTTCTTCCAGGGACACTGATGGAAACAGCTTGGATGGACGGTGCAGGGGCAGGAATTTGAAGGATCAAAGCAGGATATGGAACTAAAAAGTGGCAAAAAAAAAGTGCAAACTTTAGCAAGTGAAGATTATCGACCAGCTTGTCCAGCTCTGGTGAAAGTATTACCTGCTCTCTTCCCTGGCTGGAAATCCCACTCCATTCCATAGCACCTCTTCCCTGGGGTGAATCACCATTCCTAAATACCCTCTCTGGTGCTGCTGTGGGGCTTTACTGGTCTCTGCTGGGGTATTGCTGGGGCATCTTGTCACTTTTCTCTTGTCTCCAGGCAACGGATCTGATTTTCCAGGAAAGCAGCTGGGAACAAGGAGGAGCTGATTTAGCACCCACAGGGCCTGCTTTGCAGACCACTGAAATTAAATATTGTCATTGTCTCCCTCTTGTCTGAAACGAAGTCCAGATTGTCCCCATTTCCTTTCTGCCTCCCAGTCTGAGCAGAGTTTTACTTGTAAGCCATTAACAGAACAAATTTCTGAGGGGAAGAATAAACACTGGGGACCTGAGAGAAGCAGGATAAAGACCTGAATAGACATTCCTAAGCAAAAAACACTCCTTTTCTAGAGGTCTGTAGGTGGCCCTCGGCAGATGAGCTGCTCTGAAGACAATTGCTGAAGGGACTCTTCCTTTTTTTTAAAGGAAGTGTGACTCTTTTAAGTGCTGCAGCTGCTAAGAAGAGGTAGGAAACCCAGAGGAAAGAAAACACTTTGGGTCCTGATCAACCCAATAAATTAATTGATGAGGTGCAGATCCCACGGAATTGTTTGAAAATTAACATGAAAGTTGTCCTCAATCCTTCTCTTTTCCCCTCCCATGTGACCTGTAGGGCAATATCCCTCCGTAACACACATTCCTCAGCTAAGGGGGGTTTTGGGAATGTCACTTTAAATACCTCCTGTCATTTCCCCCAGGGTTTTTTTTCCCGTGTTTAAATCCAGTGGCAAGGGAAGCCCCGGGGGAGCTTTGCCCAGGAGGCTCCAGAGCAGGAAGCTGCACTCAAAGTCTTTTGCTTCCCTCTAGTGTTTAATGGTTTTATTTCCTTGTCAGCTTGTTGTGACTGAGTCCTGCCCAAGGTCCACTGCACAGAGAGGAAGAATAAACGGGGAAAAAAAACCAACTTGCAGATCTTTTGGACCAGACCCAGAAGTGTAAAGTGCCTTGGATTGCATCCCCCTGACATCCCCCACCCTGGCAGCAGCCTGCAGCCTCTTAAGCACATCCAAAATGTGTTCCTGCAGTGATATTTTTCTGCTTCTCTTTCTGTTTCAGGATCATTTCCGTGTTTAGTTCATATTCTGCTAATCTCGCCAACGGTCCTCCCAGTGAAAGATGATTCTGTCCTTTCACAAATGTAAATTCTTGCAGGTGGATGAAAAATACCCCTGAAATCTCCGAGTGGGTGCCCAGAGTGTTGGTTTCCCTTCTGTCACGTCCCTGCACACAAACACTGATTTGCTGAGCACCCAGAGTGTGATGAGCTCTCGGAATTCCCTGAGACAAGCAACAGCCATTGCTATAATTCAAAGGATGGCTTTTTAAATAGGCCTTGCTTATTCCCTGTGTGGCAACCAAGTGCACTGCTGCACAAATGAAGAGAAGGGTGAGCAGCTTTTGTGCCTCAGGACACTCTCAGCTCCCTGCAGGGGCCAGCAAGACTATTTCCTCTATCACAGAGAGCACAGCACTATTAGCAAGGGATTTTGTGCCTCATATTTATTTTTTGCTGAAGTGTTAAGGCCTGAACTCTGCAAGAAACAAGATATTAGCCCTGATGGACCAGTGGTGTCTTCCTGCATTCCTATGTCCTCTCTTTAATTGGATTAGCTTGTGGTTTGACTGCAACATGAAAGTGGGTTATCTCTTCTCTTCTGTGCTTTAGGGGGACACAGAAAGCTTTTTGTGAGTCACAGATCCAGTCTTCTCGTGCCTGTTCCAAGGTAGTCATCTGACAATTATACAAGTCATTATATTTTCAGTTGTCAAGAGTAAAAGTGAAGCTCAGAGAGCAAGAGCAGACTCTCTGCAGCCTCAGCCTTTGTGTGGGCACCACCTGGGCCTCTGAGCAACTCAGGAGCTCGTTAAGTACCAACTGAAGAGACCAAAGGGTTGGGTGTTAATATTTTGCCCGAGTTTCATTCTGCAAAATAAAGGTCAGTACCTCATAAAATACAGTTTGTACCAGAGTTACAGTCCTGCCAAAAGGGAGCCTTCCAGCCCTTGCCCAGAGTTTCTTGAGGGTGGTGGAATTCCTGGGTTGATGGAGCACTTTCTGCACCAAGGGTGCTCCTGGGTGCTTGCAGAGCCTTAATTTTTGTGCACACGAGGGACAGAAAGTTGAACACATATTTTTACAGAAATCTTCACTGTCCTCAGAATTCCAAAATTAAAAAAGTGAGAAACAACCAACCATCCTGAAAAGTTTTTTATGTACATAGAAACAACTCTTGAAAATTACTCTTTGAAATGCACTAAATTGGTCATTCCTGACTTCAACCAGCACCAAATCAGTAGTTACAGGACGAGGACTAAGGCCATACCTTTACCTTGCTGTTTATCCTGTTTGATGATCACACAGGCATTCCCATTTAGCAGTGATGAGTGGCAGGAACATCAGCTGGAGAACTCCAGTGGCTGGGATTTTGTAATTCCTTCACTAAACCAGAAATGGCAGCAGGCAGGTGATGATGTTTTGGTTTCTCAGTGTTGTTAAACCTTGTTGAGTTGTGGATTATCCAGTGCTGTTGGTAAAGAAGTTCCCAGTCAGGATCTGGGACCTGGTAATGATTAAACTTTCAGAAAACTGAAAATAATAAATAGCAATAATGATAACAAACCTTCTGTGAGCCACTAACACAGTTGGCTCCTCTGTTTTGTGCTGGTAGAGAAATCATTCCAGTGACAGGTAATTCAGTCACTGAGCTGTGATTTACCCCTTCACAGAGAGTAGCTGAACACTGAGAAGTGAATGTCCCTGTCCTTTGAAAGGACAGAAGAGAGAACACCATTAGCTTGGGTGGAGAAGGATCCTGAAGAAGGATTTTTTTTTTTATTTTTTTTTTTAATGAACAAAAGATTCCTTGAGACCTAAGGTCTGAAATGTTCGTTTTCTGGTTGCCATCTTTTGGGGATTTCTAGAAATAAAGGTGAACTCTTCCCAAATCCATCACCTGCAAAGCAGGGCGCTGTGATTCTGTGATCCCTATCCCTGTCCCTTCCCCATCCCTGTCCCTTCCCCTTCTCCATCCCCTTCCCTGTCCTGTCCCTGTCCCTTTCCCCTCCCCATCTCATCCCATCCCATTCCCTTCCCCTTCTCTTTCCCCAACCCATCCCATCCCATCCCCATCCCATCCCCTTCCCCTTCCTCTCCTCCTTCCCTGTCCCATCCCTGTTCTCATCCCCTTCCCCTCCCCTTCCCTTTCCCCCTCCCCTCCCCGACCCTGCTCCCATCCCTGTCCCCTTCTCCTCCTTCCCATCTCCGTCCCGTTCCTCATCCCCACCTCTTTTCCTTTCCCCTTTCCATCCTCATCTCCATCCCTTTTCCCTTCTCCATCCCCATCCCACCCCCTTCCCCGTCCCATCCCTGTGCTCTTCTCTTCCCCCTTCCCATCCCATCCCATCCCACCCCATCCCTGGGCCGCGGGGGCGGTGCGGGCGCTGCGCGGGGGGCGCGGTGCGGGCGGAGGGCGCACCGGGGGGGCTTCCCCCGCACCTCCCGCACCACGGACCCGCATCCCCCGCACCCCCGGGATCCCCCGCACCCCCGACCCGCATCCCCGGCCGGGCCGGGCTCCGCTGGCAGCCGGCGGGGCGGCGGGAGGAGGATGCGGGCGGGGCGGGCGGCGCTGCCGTTCCCGGGTCGGGCAGCTAGAGAGCAGTGCAGGGAGCGGAATCCCGGGAGCCGGGAGCTCCCTTCCTGTCGGGAAGGCCGTGAGCGGAGCCGAGCGCCGGCCGGGAGGCCCCGGGCCGGCCGCCCCCGCTCCCCTCGCCCATGGCGGAGACCAAGATCATCTACCACATCGACGAGGAGGAGACGCCCTACCTGGTGAAGCTGCCGGTGCCGCCGGAGAAAGTCACGCTGGCCGATTTCAAAAATGTCCTCAGCAACCGGCCCGTGCACAGCTACAAGTTCTTCTTCAAGTCCATGGACCAGGATTTCGGGTGAGCGGCCGCGCCGCCGGCGCATCGCGGAGCCCCCGCGGGAGCGCTCGGAGCATCCCCGGGGCACCTGCCGGGCTCGGCCCCGCTCGGCCCCGGCCCCGCTCGGCCCCGCTCGGCCCCGGGAGCCGCCGCCGCCGCGAACATGGCGGGCGCGCCCGGCCGTGCCCGGAGCGGGGTCGGCGCTGCCGCCCAGCCCGGCCCGGGACCGCCCGGGGCACCCCCGCGGCACCCGCGACCCGCCGAGCCCCCCGAGCCCGCCCGGCGCTGCCCCCGGGCCGGGCAGGGGCGACCTGCGGCTGTCACCGCAACCGGGAGAGGCCGCGGAGTGCCCGGGCATCGGGGGCACGGCGGGGCCGCGGGGAAGGGGTGCCTGGCGCGGGTGGGGAGATAGCGGCGGGTCCCCGAGCTGTCACATCCTCGGGGGTCAGACGGGTGTCACATCCTGGGGGGTCAGACGGGTGTCACGTCCTCGGGGGTCGGACAAGTGGTCAGTGGGTACGAAATGGTCAGTGGTCACACGGTTCTAGGGGCTGGACTCAGACAGCAGCAGTAAATCCTCGGGGGTCAAAGGGGTGACAAGTGGTCCCTGGTCAAACGGGTGTCACATCCTCAGGGGTCAGACAAATGGTCAGTGGGTACGAAATGGTCAGTGGGTACGAAATGGTCAGTGGCCAAACGGTTCCAGGGGCTGCACTCAGACAGCAGCAGCAAATCCTCGAGGGTCAAATGGGTGACACATCCTTGGGGGTCAGACAAGTGGTCAGTGTGTATGAAATGGTCAGTGGTCAAATGGTTCCAGGGGCTGCACTCAGACAGCAGCTGCAAATCCTTGGGGGTCAAAGGGGTGACAGGCAGTCCCTGGTCAAACGGGTGACAAATGGCACCTGTGGTCAAACGGGTGTGAAATGGTCAGTGGTCACACAGTTCCAGGGGCTGCGCTCAGGCAGTGGCTGCAAATCTTTGGGGGTCAAATGGGTGACAGATCCTCGGTGGTCAAACAGGTGGCAGATCCTTGGGTGTCAGGCGGGTGACAGGCTGGTCAAAAGGGTATGAAATGGTCAGTGGCCAAGCAGGTGACAAGTGGTCAGTAGTCAGACAGGTGTGAAAAGGGTTGCTTGGTGGTGACAAGAGGTCAGTGGTCGAACAGCTGTCAAGTCCTTGGGGGTCAAACGGGTGTTAAATGGTCCCTGGTTGAACAGGTATGAAATGGTCAGTGGTCAAATGGGGGTCAAGTGGTCCGTGGTCAAATGGGTGTGAAATGGTCAGTGGCCAAACTGGTATGAAGTGGTCAGTGGCCAAAGGGCTCCAGGGGCTGTGCTGTCAAATCCTCGGTGGTCACACAGGTGTCACATCCTTGAGGGTCAAACAGGTATGAAATGCTCAGCGGCCAAACAGGTGACACAAGTGGCCAGTGGTCAGATGTCCACTTCCAAGGGCACATGCCCTGCTCACCACTGCCCACGCATTCCTCGTGCTGGGAATGCTGGAGAAGACAAGGGCCAGCCTTTCAAACGCCCTCTGTGGTGGTGCAGGCCGGGGCTGTGAGCAGAGCCAGGGGATATCTGCCATCGTTCTGCTCCCTGCACACCAATGTGGGTTGTGTGCCACCGGGCTTATCGACAGCCATAATAAAACAAACCAATAAAAGTCCCTTTGACAGGTTGCCAGACAGTAACTTTCAAAATGTATTAATCCTTTTGTAGCAAATCGCTTCTCTTTGTACTCACATCTGTCACTGGCGAGGCAATTTTGCACAGTTAAATGCCTTGCCAGGAAAACAAAAAAAAAAATAAAGGGGAGCAGGTTTGTGGGAAACTAATATGGACCCGACTCCAGAATAACGCCGTGGTTGAGGTGCAGGTTTCGTGTTTGGTGGGATAGATCATCCCAAGCATCCTTTTACATGTTGTGCAGCCTCTTTTCTTCCCCGAGAGACCCGGAGCCTTTTCACGTTGATTGTGTTTTTATCCCCTGGTGGAATGTGGATATTGTTTGTTGACACGTATTCCTTATGTGGGGAGCTGTTGGTATTGGCCCGTTACCACAGGAGGTGGATTGACTTTTTTGTTTCTTCTGAGTCGTGAAAACATTTTTTTTTTTTTTCCCGGGGAAACAACAACGCAAAATGTTTGTTTTCAAAATAACGCCTTTGAAATTGTCGGCCCCGTAAATTTCCCTCCTTCACCCCCCAGTGACAGGGAGGCACAAACCCTGCAGCTGTCCTAGAAATTCCAGTTGTGTTTGTGGTGCAGCTTCACCCAAGGATGTTGGGTTCGTTGAGGCAGCATCTGCAGCGTTCCCTCTGCTGCAGAAATTTAGGATCAGTAAACATAAATTGTGCTGTGGCATTAACACGTCTGGGGTGTTCTTGGGCTTGGACCGGGGAGCAGAGGAAACCCTGCAGCAAGTTCTCAAAATTGGGGTGAAAATGGTCTGTTATTCTTGTGTTGTCTTGGAGATGATGGAAGATGAAGGGCTGCGAGTGGGTGATGATCTTGACCTGTAAATTCTGTCTCATTTAAATAATACTGTCCAATGCAGCTGCTGAAAGCATTTGGGTGACGATCCATTGCCTTGAGACAGCTCCAGGTGACTCTGTAGATGGGACTCATGGAAGCCACTGAGCTGTCAGATAGACCTTTGCTTGCTTTTGGTTTGTGTGTCTTGTTCCTTGCGTGTTTGTTCCTCTCTGAATCCTAAACACTTAGAAAAATAGGGAGTCAAAAGAAAAATGATAGGAAAACCTGGATGAATTTCGGTTGTCTTAGTAAATGTTGATAGCAAACATGGGGGGTTTTTTCATCATCTTGTCTGCAAGCTGACTTTTTTTTAGAATATCCTGAGCTGGGAGGGACCCACGAGGATCAGAGTCCAACCCCTGGCCCTGCACAGACACCCCAACAATCCCACCCTGTCCCTCAGAGCGTTGTCCAAACCCTCCTGGAGCTCTGGCAGCCTTGGGGCCGTGACCAAACCCTGAGGACACTGTTCAGTGCCCAACTACCCTCTGGGGGAAGAACCTTTCCCTGATACCCAACCTAAACCTCCCCTGGCACAGCTTTATACTTTTCATTGTTGCAAACAGACAATTCTAGAGGTAGTTGCCCCTAACCAGAACAAAACTGTTGTCTGTAGTTTCTACCCAGTGTGCCTGGAAATGCCCTCCAAAGCAACCCCTTTTCCGTGTGTTCCGTGAGTGGCTCTTAGCCCTGACCTGCAGGGACACTTTTGGGTTTCCCTGTGGTTGTTCTGCAGTCCTGGTGTTCTTCCTCTTCTTCCCACTGCTGCTCCAGGGCTGTGCAGAGCTGGGATCTGGCTCCTTGTGTTAGGAGAGCAAATGTTTTCCCGGAGAATCGGAGCCTCCTGGAGAAGCCAGTGATCGGGAACTGACTTTGCAGTTCTGCACATGTTGTTGTAATTAAGGCACAGCCTTTTCCTGGATCCTGAAATAATGGAATAAATAATTGTGCTCAGAAGCAGTGGATGTGTTGAATGGTTTCCAGCCATGAAAGACAGGAGTTATTAAGGATTGGAACAGAGTTGGGCTGGGGATATGGAGCTGCATCATGGATATCTTATGGAATTGAGCAGTCCTGTGTTTTGTGTACCTGTGCTGAGTCCAGCTTTGCTCCTTGGAAGCTGCAGGAAAAGGTGCAGGAATGTTGTATTTCCTTCTGAACTTTGGTTACAGTTTTTAATTTACTGCTTCACCACTTTTCCCCGTGCCAGTTCATTCCCAAGGGTGTCTTCTTCCCCAACTCGTGATGGGATGGCCCTGCCTTTATTCTGCAAGCCAGGGCTTTCCTGCTGACTCCATCTGTAGACATGATGCTGTTTCTGTGATGCAGGATGTCCAACTGTGCCCTGACATTAAGACTCAACCCTTGGAAGTGCTTTGTAGCTTCTATTTTTATTCTGCTTGGTGGGAAATGAAGCAGGGACATTACAGGCTCAGGCTCCTTAATGTGACAGTATCTACCAGCAGTGAAATTTAGAAAAGGTGATGTTTGTGGTGTGGTTTCTGTGTCATCAGCTGATTTAGTTACTTACAGCCACTGATTCTTTCCTCAGGGGAAAGCTCATAGGTCACTTCCCATCACTGAGGTTGTTGATTGTAAGGTTAGAGCCACAGAAGAACATACAATGCAATTCCATTAATTCTTTGATGGTTGAAAAATGGCAACTAACGAATCCATCTAAAAATAAAGCTTTAGTTTGTGATGTCTGGGCTCTCATGACTGAAATTGTGACAGCTGTGTGGGATCCAAATGATTCATAATGAATCTGCGTGACAGATCCTACAAGAGGAATTCCTATCTGTCTGCTTTTAAATATTTGATATTTCCAGAGCTTTGCTTGTAAAACACTTATCACTAACTTCCAAAAATATGAATTATGATCCAGGCATTGCCATAAGTCACGTGTTTTAATTTTGCTGTATAATAACCTACTTTGAGACTTGGTTGCTGCTGGTTCAGCTCTGGTCCAGGGTAGGATGTGATGCTGGGACATGATTAGAGCAGGAGAGGTTCAGAGGAGGAGCTGAACCATCTGAAATAGAGGGGCTTTCCAAAAACTGATAAATATTCCTTCTCTGCATTGTTGTGGTTCCTTTGCTCTGTTCAGCCCCCGTGTCCTGGGCTGTGCAATCCCTGCCCATGGAATTCCAGAGTGTGTCTGTCCTGCCATCCTTCTGGGTGAGGTTCAACTCCTCATTCTTTCCATTGTGTGAACTAATACTCCTTTGATTATACTTCTTTAGGGAGTACTCTGAGGAGTGGCTTTTTTTGAACATTCCTTTGGTATCAGCAAAAGAACTTCCCTTTCAAACTGCACTTTGAGGTGCAGCTGTTTCTGCGCAGAAATTGGGTTTTCTTGGTACTCGGGGTGTTGAAAACGAGCAAGAAAATGTGATTTAAAGCACTAGGAATCCGGTTTGGGATTGGGATTGTGAGCTGAATGGGGCAATTTTGGATAGAAGAGGAAGATGAGAAGCACTCTTTTGTGCCTTTTCTCGTGGAGGGAATGCACCATCTCTGTTTTCACCCTTGCCCTAGGAGGAGTTATAACTGAGAAACAGGAGTCCTAATTGA